TATTTCGTTGAGTTGTGTTTCGTTCACGTGTCACTTTAATTGTAATTGTTCCGCTAAACTTGTAACCTTTTGTTCTACACAGTTTTTGTATTCGGCGTATGATAGATGTATCGTTTGCACTTGCACTATAGTTTATATTATAATACCTATTTCGCTATGCATGTTTAAATGAAAAATTCTCTTATGCTCGGGTTGCTTTGATCAGAAAAAACAATAGCATGCAACGCATTCAGATATGTAATTCTTTCGTTTATTACACTTCTTTGCTCCGCGTTTGTTTCATTTGTCAACTCAACCATTGATTCTCCGATTGCACGTTGTAGTTCTTGCAATAAATGCAATGTCCTATCTAAGTTTCCGTTAAGTGGCATTTTTGCTGTCTTTTATATTTTACTACTGTCTTTGATTCGACGGGTGGAAGCGACAGTTCGAACTTCTGGCCTTCTATCGACTTGATTTTGAAGCATTCTGTCATATTCAATACACGACACTTGACAGCCATTGACAGTTCATGTTGTACACATTGTTTACAAAACAAGATAGCAACTAGTGAAAATTAACTGATTTTCAGGACTGAAATCAATGAGTTATAAAAGGGGCAGCAAATTTCAAATGTATTCAGATTTATTTTAAATAACTTATTTAAACGTAAAAATCGCATAGCGGTCACCAAATCGAATATAATAGAAATTATAGCCAAACAAATGAAAGAACGTATTACTCAAAAAAAAAGCCGATGTTAGTTCTCAAAAACAGTTGTAGAGGGCCAGAATGATGAACATACATTTCTATAGTTTCAGTACAGAAATACGGAATTGCTTCCACCCGTCGCTTTGATTGCACAAAATTTCTGCATCAGGTTACGTTTATTTTGTGTTTTCAGCACTTTAAACAAAATTCATCCGTCCGTATGCAAAGTGAGGAATGGTACTGCTTCTTCTTCTTAACACATACTGTAAGTCGCCATATTCGAAGAAATAATGATAATACTAATAGACTATAAATATTCAATATGGCCGCTGCCATTGTGCTCGATTGTGTGTATGATAGTGTGAAGAAGAAGAAGTTGTAGCATGCACAAAAAGTGTATTGGTTTTCATACGGATGCGTTCATCATCGTTTCCAATGTCAAATGTTCAAATTTTGCAGTCAATGACAGATAGCTGACGATACAGTCATGGAAATTTAATTAGGACCGGCATTGAAATTTCAGTTTTTTCCCATTAATTCTGTTATTTTACAAAAAAATATTCATGAAATGATGTTTATGAGAATATTTGAAGTTTTTATAAATGGACTAGACTATCAATTTCATTATTTTCGGTAATGGATATCATTTATTGATGAAATCGAAAAATCGGAAAATTTATCTTCTGTTTAACAAAATTCACTCCACCGATGGTCGTATTTAATTGAAATACATTTTTTCCACATTACCATTTAATAGATTTCAAATTTCTTAACAAATTCGAAAAGTTACAGACCAAACTATGATTCTTCCACGATTTTTCATACAAAAAATGCTATAAAGTTTAGTTTGGTCTGTAACTTTTCGAATTTGTTAAGAAATTTGAAATCTATTAAAAGGTAATGTGGAAAAAATGTATTTCAATTAAATACGACCATCGGTGGAGTGAATTTTGTTAAACAGAAGATAAATTTTCCGATTTTTCGAAAAATTTTGTCATTTTTTGTATGGAAGGTCTTAATTATTTTTCCCGCAGTTTTTGGGCAATTTCATCAATAAATGATATCCATTACCGAAAATAATGAAATTGATAGTCTAGTCCATTTATAAAAACTTCAAATATTCTCATAAACATCATTTCATGAATATTTTTTTGTAAAATAACAGAATTAATGGGAAGAAACTGAAATTTCAATGCCGGTCCTAAATAAATTTCCATGACTGTACATTATCAGAATAACATAAGATGTTTGTGTGTTTTTCATTAGCATCGTTGATTTTAGTCTATGTGCCTCTAAATTGTAAAAACAATAAAATTTTCCATTTGAATTCGAATCATTTTGACACGAGTACATTTTTTAGAACTATTTTAGTACCAAATATACGAAAAGACAGTCAATCTAAAAGTGACTCATAGAATTAGCACGCATAAGAAGGTGGGTAGCACATACATCGAAATAAATTCTTAAAAAATATAAATTTGATTGAAATATTTCAATAGAAATACTGTTAAAAGACCCAACCAGCCATGGACAATTTGTGGAAGAAGGAATCAACTAGAGATGGGGCACAATACGTTGATCTTTTTTCTGCTCAGCACCAAATGGCACAATATATAAAATGCTTTGGCAACATGAATATCATGCCGAACAATAAGGACAATAAATACTCCACAACGTTGCACCAGCGTGGAAATGAGTTTTTTCGAGCAAAAAAATGGTCTGAAGCAATGGATTCGTACAACGAAAGCTTATGTTATGCGGAAATCGGGTCAGAGAACGTGGCGTTGACATATACAAGTCGATCATCGTGTTTCTTTCAGATGCGAATGTACGAAGAAGCGTTGACAGATATTGAGTTTGCAAAGAAGTCTAATCTTCCCGATCGCTTATTACCGACACTTGAGCACCGCCATCAGGAGTGCCGTAAATTGATGCAAACTGCACAAAAATCCAAAATGACGCGTGACTTTAAACTGAGCTACGAGGCACACAAAAACTACCCATGTTTGGCTGATGTGGTGGAGATCAAATACAGTCAAGAATTCGGACGACATTTGGTTGCCAAATCGGACATCCCAGTTGGAAAAATCGTTTTGATGGAAAAGGAGTTCGTCGCAGCCAGTGACAATGAACAAATTCGATGTTGTACTTGCTTCCGAAAGAATGCGAATTTCATCGCATGCACCCAGTGCTCAGCCGCTATATTCTGTGATAGTGATTGCATGAACCAAAACTTATGGCACAAATGGGAATGTGGTTCATTTGTGACACAAGTACGTAGCAAAGAGAAAGTTCCAGTTCGAGCGATTTTGATGGCTATTGAAAGTTTTCCAAACGTTGAAAGTCTCATGGAGTTTGTTGACAGCACGTTACGCGAAGATCCCGAAACGATTCCGACATCAATACATGATATGAAGACGAATTATCATTTCTTCTTTAAACTCAAAAGATTGGCACCAGCTGAAGCTATAAAAATGGCTTACATAGAATTCAAGTGTTTAACAGGAATTCCAAAAATCAACAATTCATTCAATACCATAGGGAAGAAACGTTTTCTCATGCATTTAGTCGCACATCATTCCGGAATTCTTGTAGCCAATGCAATTGGAAATGGATACAATGACTCAACAATGATTAACGTATTTTCCATGGCAAACCACTCTTGTGCTCCGAATATACTTACCTATCCAGTAAAGGGTCACTTTATTTATGAAACAATCCGTTTCGTGAAAAAAGGTGAGCAGCTCTGTTTCAACTATTTGGGTAGATTCAATCCAGAAACCGATGAGAGACAAAAAATATTGGAATCTAAATGGAAATTCATTTGCAAGTGTGCAGCATGTAAACCAGCCAAAAACATTGTCAATGCACGTTTGGCATCCGATCCGCGTTTTAAGTTTGTACGTAACAATGTGCATGAAAAAAGATTGGCTCCGAAAAATTTGAATAAAAGTCGCCAATTTTTGAACGAGCATGGTCAATTGCCATGGTCAGAAGAAGTTGCATTGATGTCGGAGGTTTTTTCAGGATTGACTGTAACACTTTACGTAAATCCATTGTAATAAGATTACTTTCTCACTACGACTGACACACTTTCAATTTAACTTCTAGAAATTCAGACAAATGTGATCAAAAAAATAATGTTTTTTAGCTTAAAATAAGTGAAAAATACGAAATTTTTACAATATTCTTTATATACACGTGGATTCCGTCAAATTAATGTGAATTGCTTCAAAATTAAAATTTAATTTGATAAAATATTTTTGTGTGGATTTTTCTTTGTAATCGCGTGAATTTTTATATGATAATTACAATCGATTAGAATTAGATTTGTGGCTGGACAACTTTACTTTAAATTTCAAATATATACGGAGAATAAAATAGACCGATTCGCAATTTGTTATTTATTCCAACACAAAAAAACACTATTTATACCATGATTTGTTTATAGCGGTCTGCATATGTATGTGTTGGTGTATAAACCGATAGTTTGTTTGAGTCATTCAGGCATTAGTCAAATTCATTCAATTAGTCAGATGTAATGGAACATTCAATGAAAGTCTGTGTTTTGCAGAAGATAGAGTGGAAAATATTGCATTGGCACATGCAAACCGATCATTGTGTTTCTTCCAATCAATTTGCTGCTCCATTAATGGAAAACAATTAACGGGAATAGAAAAAAAATTATTTTGATCACTGTTTTGGAGCAGAAATTTAACGATTAAATTTTTAGAACTATATTTAGTACTAAATATGCAAATCAAATGCAAAAGAAACGTCATGCATCTGTTCTCTGACACCATTTTGACTTTTTATTCAAAGTGATAGTACGCATCAGACGGTAGGTAGCACATTCACTCAAAAAACAATAGTTTGATTGAAATATTTCAGTAGAAATAGTGTTCAATCACGCCATCAGCCATGGACAATTTGTGGAAGAAAGATTCAAACGAAGCTGGTGCGCAGTATGTCGATCTTTTTTCCTCTCAGCATGGAATTGAACAAATGGTTGGAAAAATGATTGACACTTCTGGAGATGTGAATATCGCGCCGAATCGTAAGGACAATGAATTCTCAACAGCATTACATCAGCGTGGAAATGAGTTTTTCAGAGCGGAAAATTGGTCTGAGGCAATGACTTGGTACAACAGAAGCTTAAGTTATGCGGAAATCGGGTCAGAGAACGTGGCTTTGGCATACTCAAGCCGGTCCGCTTGTTTCTTTAACATGGAATTGTACGAGAAAGCGTTGATTGACATCGAGACGGCTAAAAGTGCGAATGTACCAGAACATTTGTTAGTGCAGCTTGAACAACGCCAACAGGAATGCCACGAATTGATGCAAACAGCCCAAAAACCCAAAGTGACGCGTGACTTCAAACTGAGCTACGAGGCAAATAAAAACTTTCCGTGTATGGTCGATGTGGTGGAGATCAAATACAACCAAGAATTTGGACGACATTTGGTTGCAAAGTGTGACATCCCAGTTGACAAAATCGTTTTGATGGAAAAGGAGTTTATCGCAGCCATTGACAATGACAGAATGCTATGTTGTAATTGCTCTCGAATGAACTCAAATTTCATCGCTTGTCCGCAATGCCCAGCCGTTGTATTCTGTGATTTAGATTGCATGAATCAAAACCTATGGCACAAATGGGAATGTGGTTCATCTGTGTCACAACTAAATTTCAATATGAAGTTACATGTTCGAGCGGTTTTGATGGCTATCGAAAGTTTCCGAAGTGTTGAAGATCTCATGGAATTTGTGGGCAGTGCGTTGCTTGAGGATCCCGGAACGATTCCAACATCAATGCACGATTTGAAGTCCAAATATCACTTTTTCTTCAACCTTAAAAGATCGCCGCAGAAGGTTGACGATATTATTGCCGCCTACACGCATTTCAAGTGCATACAAATGTGTCCAAAAATCAATGCACTTTTCGATGGCGAAGAAAAAACACGTTTTCTCATGCACTTAGTTTTCCATCATACTCTGATTATTCAAACCAATTCAATTGGAGGAGACGATTTCAAATCAATACATAACGTTTTTTCCATGGTAAATCATTCCTGCGCGCCAAATCTTCATAACTATATAGTTGGCAACCATGGTATTTTCAAAACAATTCGTTACGTGAAAATGGGTGAGCAGCTTTGTTTCAACTATTTGGGTTCATTCAATGAGAAAACCCATGAGAGACAAAAAGAACTGGAATCTAATTGGAAGTTCATTTGCAAGTGTGCAGTATGCGAACCAACCAATAACATTGTTAATGCTCGTTTGGCATCCGATCCGCGTTTCCAGTTTGTACATGACAACGTGCATGATGAAAGTTTGGCTCTGGATCTTTTGGATAAATGTCGCCAATTTTTGAACGAGCATGGTCAATTGGCATGGTCGGCTGAAGTTGGATTTATTTCGCAGGTTTTTGCTGGATTAATTACGGCCCTTGAAGATTGACCAACATCGGATTAATAAAATAAAGACTTTTTTGTAATTTTTCTAGTTTGAGAGTAGTTGATATATTAAGTTGACCTTCAATTCAGTTTGCAATACTGGTCAGATGGATAAAAACAGAAGAAATGAAGGTTTGAATCAATTCTTTTCGAAAGATTATCGTACTATTTCGCTTTGGACTATGACCTCAACACTTGCTTAAATCAAAATTCTCAATAAAAATCGAAAAAAGCCAATATTTATCCAGATATGTCAATATTGTTGAATTGAATCGAGATTGCAGCAATTTATTACACACATTATGCAGTTAACCTTCTTCTCATATTCAATTTTTGATTGAAAAAATGTTACAAAGTAAAATATAACAAATTCATTTCACGAATAACAGTGTAATCGTCATATATCTGCTATATTGGCTGCGTACTGAACATTTGACATTTACACTGTTATTTATGGTGAATTCGCTATTTAGCCGGTATTTATACAAGAAATCTGACATAAAGGCAATGTTTATTTATTGATGTGATACACTTGCCGCCTTTCCAATACCTACTGACATTTAGTGTAAGATAAAATTCATTCTTTCATATTCCAATAAAGTTATTTTAGTTTTTCATCATTTAATACTGATTTTTTTCTCTTCAAAAATATCTTCGTCCAAGAAAGATTGATGATTAAAACTGAAATCGACGAAACACTGTTTATAGTGCCGAAATTAATGACATAGTCTGAAGTTTCTTTCCCACATTGCTGTTTCAATCGAAGCCACATAAAACAGTGGGTATACAGTATACCTTGTGAAAATGAAAACTCCTTACATTCATGAAAATAATTAATTTCAGAAGCACTCAACGAATCAGATATGGACAACTTATGGAAAAAAGAAACAACCCAAAATCAGACCGGATATATTGATCTGTTTGCATCCTTGCAAGAAGATGATGTATGGAATGATGGAGCAACGAATCCATTGGAAACAATAACATTTCGGAAGGACAATGAAAAATCATTGGAAAGTCGAACACGAGGAAATGAAATTTTTGCGGCAAAAAATTGGGAAGACGCAATGGAACATTACAATCAAAGCTTGCGCAACGCAGAGGTTGGATCTGAAAATGTGGCCCTAGCCTATTCCAACCGATCGGCATGTTTTTTCTACATGCAAATGTACGATGAAGCGTTGGTAGACATTGAGCTGGCCAAAAAAGAAAATTTACCGTACCGCCTTTTGCCAAAGCTTCAAGAACGTCGACAAAAATGTTTGGAATTAGCGAATACGGTACAACGAATGCCAGAATATCAACCGAAATTGGACTATGAACCAAATAAACAATTCCCTTGTTTGGCAAACTTAGTGAAAATAGAACAGAATGACGAATTTGGTCGATACTTGGTCGCAAATAGTGACATTCCAAAGGGCAAAACGATTTTATTGGAAGAACACTTTGCAGTCAGTCATATCGAAGATTTTTCCATATGCTACACATGTTATCGTGCCACATTTTCAAATTACCTCGCTTGCGAACACTGCACGAATGTCATGTTTTGTAGTGTTGAGTGTAAGAATCGCAATAAAACCCATGAATGGGAATGTGGTACATTCTTTGGAATGAGATTTTTCAATGACGTTAAAATACAGAAATTTTTACATCGAACAAGATTGATTGTCCAGACGATTTTGACAGCCGTTACAACTTTTCCGAATGTTGAGACTTTGATGCAATTCGTTGAAAATACTTTGCGTGAAGATCCTGACAAATTGCCTACTTCAATGCATGACAATGTCTCGAAGTACCACTTCTTTTTTAAATTGAAGAAAAGAATGGTTAACCCTTTGGATGGTGTGAAACGTGTGTACCAATGGATCATGCTACTACCAAAAATACGAGCTCTGTTTGACAACGTGGAAAAGCAACATTTTTTAATGCATTTGATCGCACATCATTCACTTATTGTAGATACAAATTCCATCGGAAGCAAAGAAAGTTCAAATGTGAACATTGTTTTTTCAATGTTTAACCATTGTTGCGAGCCAAACGTGAAAGAAAGCTCGTCTGAAAAGATTACCTACTGTACAACATCTCGACCGGTTAAAAAAGGGGAGCAGCTCTTCATCAGTTATTTATCACCTGACGAGATGAAGTTACCGAAAGAAAAACGCCAAGAAAAACTTCGAAATGCTTGGGGATTCGTGTGCAAATGCAAGAAATGTGTTTGAGTTGTTAAGTATATCAATAGATCACTTAAATCTGATGCTGGAAAGTCCATTTGTTTTGCATTTTACATTTGTATGCTACAGTATTAAGCCATAGATTAAGGACATGACAAAAAGAAATATATAAAATCATCTATTTTTATTATGACCAAATTATATATACTTATAAAGCATTTCCTTGGACAAAATTCTATTTACCGATAGAAATTATATCGATGTTGTAGGTATTGAAGAAAAACCCGCTTGTTCAATCACGCAAAAATAAACACACAGTAATCAAAGCCAGAATATTGTGATTTTCTTTTCAATTATAACAGTATGAAAATAGAAAAAAATTCAAATTTGTTTCACGAACAACAGTTTAAACGTCATATTTCAGCTGTATTGGCTGCAAACTGTATATCTGACATTTACACTGCTATTTATGGTGAACGTTCTAGAAAACCGTTAATCACACAAGCAATCTATCGTAAGAGCAATGAAATGTGTTGTTATCAGCTTATGCATTTGCCGACTTGGCAGTAGCTACTCACATCTAGTGTAAGATAGCATTCTTTTATCACGGCTTACAATATTCTGAATAATTCGTTTAATATACATTTACTTTTGATTCAAAATCGTTTCTCCGAAATAGTTTGATGATTTGTTTCTTTTTAAAACGTTAGTTTTTCAAAGCAACCTCAAGTTTTGTTGTTTGTATTGCTTATTCATTCGAAGCCACATAAAACGGTGAGTATGTATACATTTAAAAAAAGAAAAAAAGAAAATTCATGAAAATATTGATACGACATACATATATTATATTTTGGATAATTAGTTTCAGAAGTACTTATCGAATCAGCCATGGACGTTATTTTATGGAGAAAAGAAACAATTAAAGGTCAGACCACATTCATTGATCTGTTCGTAACCTTACCAGACGACGATAAATGGAATGATGAATCAATGAATGAAATGAAAACAAAAAAGTTTCGAAAGAATAATAAGAAATCATCGGAAAGTCGAGAGCTGGGAAATGAAATTTTTGCGGCGAACAATTGGTCAGATGCAATGGAATGTTATAATGAAAGCCTGCGCTTCGCAGAAGTCGGAACCGAGAATGTGGCTCTAGCCTATTTTTTCCGATCGGCATGTTTTTTCAAACTTAACATGATCGATGAAGCATTAGCAGACATTGAACTGGCCACTAAGGAAAAAATACCTGACCATCTTTTGCCGGAGCTTGAACAACGTAAGCAAGAATGTCTTGAATTGGTGGAGGTGGTACGACGAGAGCCAGAACATCCACCGGAATTGGATTATGAAGCAAATAAACACTACCCTTGTTTGGTGAACAAAGTTGATATAAAATGCAATCAACAATTTGGTCGACATTTGATCGCTAATAGTGACATTCCAAAGGGCAAAACGATTTTGTTGGAAGAAGCGTTTGCGGTCAGTCATATCCAAGATTCTTCTATCTGTTACACTTGTTATCGTGCAACATTTTCGAATTTTTTGGCTTGTGAACAGTGCACAAATGTCGTGTACTGTAGTCTTGAGTGTAAGAAACGCAATAAAACCCATGAATGGGAATGTGGCACATTCTTTGGGATGAGGTGTTTCAACGATGTTGAAAAACAGAAAAATTTACATCGAACTCGATTGATAATCCAAACGGTTTTGACAGCCATTTCAACATTTCGAAATGTTGAGGCTTTGATGCGATTCGTTGAAACCCTTGTGCGTGGAGATGGTGGAGATCCTGATAAATTACCGACATCATTGGATGACCAATTCTCGAAGTACCACTTCTTTTTCAAATTGAAGAAAAGAATGCGAAGAAAACCTTTGAGTGATTTGAAGCGTGTGTACACATGCATTTTGTTTCTACCGAAAATACGAGATATGTTTGACACTTTGGAAAAGAAACGCTTTTTAATGCATTTGGTCGTATGCCATACAATTATTGTGGATTCAAATGTAATGGAATTCGAAGAAGGTTTAACGGTGCGCAACGTGTTTTCAATGTTTAACCATTGCGAACCAAACGTGAAAGTCAACACGTCGGGAAAGCTCACCTACTGTACGACAACTCGACCGGTTAAAAAAGGCGAGCAACTTTTCATCAATTATTTATCACCTGACGAGATGAAGTTGCCCAAGGAAAAGCGTCAAGAACAATTCCGATATAATTGGGGATTCGAGTGCAAATGCGAGAAATGTGCTTAAGTTGATACTATTGTATTATCAATGTATCATACTAATCAACAGTTTAATGGACGCATTTGATCCACTCATAAATGTGGTGTTGGTAGGTCTAGTTGTTTGACAAATTCCATTTTTATACTAGACTATGGACAATTCCTAAAAGAAACACATAATACGATTAATTTCCATATAAAAAAACTGAGCAAACTATCGAATTTTAACTGGCTAAGCTTTGTATCGCTTCTGCTGAACAAACACGGTAATACAAGCATGAATACTAGGGGGAAAAATCACTTTTTTCATCTTTTATATCCGCACGCATCAAGTAATAACTTAGAAATTCAATGGTATGCATGTAA